GCTTTGGGCCCAGGCTTTGCAGGCTCAGATTGCTCTGGGTGCAGATCCTGCCTTGATCCGCTTTCTGGCTGTGTGGCCCAAGGCAAGTGAATCCCCTCCCAGAGCCTCAGTTTCCCCAGCTGTAAATTTACAGGGTTGGCCTGAAAATCAACACCGGCAGCAGAAGCACCGATGGAGCACTTACTACCTGTGTTAATGCATCACGGTTCTAAAGAGAAATGTGTAAAAACCAAACCGAGCCCACTGCCACTGAGCTGGTTCTGACGCATAGGGGCCCTATAAGGACCGGGTAGAACTGCCCCTGTGGGTTTCCAAGACTTTTAACTCTTTCAGGAGCAGACAGCCTCATCCTTCTCCCAGGGATCAGTTGATGGTTTCAAACTGCAGACCTTGTGGTTAGCAGCCCGAAGAGAAACTCACTCTACCAACAGGGCTCTTGGTCCCACATAAAAACTCAGAAAAATAAAAGTCACTGCCATCTGGTCGATTCCAACTCACAGCGGCCCTGTAGGACAAGGTAGAATCACCCCTGTGAGTTTCCGAGACTAACTCTTTAACGGGAGTAAGAAGCCTCCTCTTTCGTCCGGGGAGCGGCTGGTGGTTTCAAACTGCTGACCTTGCAGTTAGCAGCCCAGTGTGTAACCACGATGCCACCAGGGGGTCCTTGGTCCTAGACAAAAAAAGTCATGAAATACCACTGCCCGGATGGGGAAGCTGAGGCTCGGAGGGGTGGAACTACACAGCAGGAAGTGGGATCTGCACCCAGGTCGCCTGGCTGCCCGGCCCATGTTCCTCGCCTCGCCCTGGAGGGAACACTTACTGCAGCACTTGGCACCCGACCAAGGCTGGATACAGAACAGCTGCTATTATTACAAATGATTCCAGTAGCTTGTCTCCAGAGGCGGTGGTGGGGCAGCGGGCATTCTGCACAGCCAGCATCCCCTTTCTCAGCACTTCCTCCACGGAACCCCCCTTCTGCCCTCACAAGCCACAGGGTTGGGGTGGGGCTCCTCAGCCCGCAGGCTCTGGAGCTGAGCAGTGAGGAACCTAGTGCTTGGTCTATGAGCCAAGCCAGCCAATGAGAGACAGCCCTGGGACTCTATGAGCAAGATGTTGACCTGTAGGAACCCTGGTGGCACTGTCGTCTGAGCGCTGGGCTACCAACCACAAGGTCAGTGGTTCAAGCACATCAGCTCATCGCTCCATGGGAAAAACATGACCCAACCTGCTCTCGGGAAGACCCCCAAGGCCTAGAGACAAGGGTGGGCTCGCTCACCCCCTCACTGCCATTGAGTCCGCACGCATCATAGCGGCTCTGCAGGACAGCCCGCGTGGGTCTCCAAGGCTGTAAATCTCTATGGGAACAGGAAGCCTCCTCTTTCTCCTCTGGAGAGACTGGTGGTTTGGAACAGCTGCCCTTGTGGTTAGCAGCCCAATGTCTAGCCCACGACACCAGGAAGGCCTCCTCCAGAATGGACCGGAGAAGACCTCTAAGTACCTGGGTCCAGCTACACCCAGCGCTGTCACAAAATTACCTGAACCAACACGCTTCCTATCAGATGCTGGAGCTGGGCTGCGATGACATTCCCTGAAGATATGGGGAAGGCCGGAAAATCCTAAGTCTTAGGGGATCCAACAGGCCAGGCCCGAGGCCACACTGCCGGATAGGCCTGGTGAGAGCCCAGACGTGTGCAGGACCCCTGGCTTTCGAAGGAGGGAGAGGCCCCCACGGGGCGCCCAGCCTGCGGTCACTCACCTGCCGCCCCGTCACAGCCGGGCTCAGAGATGCGGATCTTCTTCACCACGTGGACGTTGCCAGTGGTCGGCATGGGTGGGGCCGTTGGGAAGGCCGTCTCCACCACCTCCTGGCTGCGGAACACAGCGGGGCTCTCGACCTCGCCGGACGTAGCCAGTGCCCGCAGCCCGGCCCCATAGGGCTCCAGACTGTGTGCACGCTGTGCGGGGGCTCCGGCCGAGGTGCTGGCCGCCACCTCCACCTCCCTCGGCCCCTCCACCACTCGGACGGTGTCAGCTCGGACCAGGACCGGGCTGTCTGGCGGTGGCCGCACCTGGGCTGCCTGCAGCTCCTGAAGTGCTTTTTTGAGCTGTGTCTCCAGCACGGCCACCTTGGCGGCCAGGGCCGCCTCCCCGTCGGGCATGCCCAAGTCTCGCTCTCGGACCCAGGTGCCCACACTCCGGGTCTGCGGCACAGCCGCCGCCGCCGCCGGCTCCTCAGGAGCCTCCGGGAGGTCCAGGCAGAGCTCGCTGCGACCCCGGGCCCCCGCGGGGTGGCCCAGAAACTTCTGGCTCTTGAGCTGCACGGTGAGCTGCCGCTTCTCCTCCTGCAGCACCGAGAGTTTCACCTGCAGGACGGGGATCAGCTTCACCTGTTCCTCCAGCTGCCGCAGCTTCCGCAGGGCGCCCGCCATCTGCTCGCGCACGTGCGCCAGGTGTCCGGCGCTGGGTGGCACCGGCGTGGACAGTCCCGATCCCCTTGGCGTGGGGGGCGGCAGCCCTACGCCCACCAGGGAGCTGGTCGAGCCTGCCGCACTGGGGGTCAGGGAGCCCAGGCTGGGGGGCGCGGTGGCCTGGTCCTCCAGGCGGCGGCGGGCATCCAGCAGGGTGCGTTCCACGCGGGGGTTGATGCCGGCCCGGCTGTCCAGGGCGCCATATTGCGGGTAGAAGCCGCGCCCGCAGTAGGAGTAGGCCGAGTGGCGGCTGTCCCCGCTGGCGTTCGAGCAGAGGGACTCGGTGGACGTCCACCAGGACCCCGGGCCTCGGGGCAGGGAGCCAAGGCGGGGGCGGCGCTGCACAGCCACCCGCCGCAGCGTGTGGCCCTTCTCAATGTCATCCACGTACTTGAGGAAGTCCAGGTCCAGGCGGTAGCCATAGGGCGTCTCCACAGAATAGGGCGGGTCGGGGTCCTTGGCAGGGAAGGCGGGCGGGGAGGCTGGGCCTGGGGTCCCTGGGGCAGGAAGAAATGACAAACTCGAAGAAACAACATAAAACAGGAAAGAAAGCACCTCAACTCCCTGCAATCACCTCAAGGATGTCTCAAAGCCACCCTACAGGACAGGGAGGCACAGCCCCGAAATTTCCCACCCTGTGGGTCTTTAAGAACGGAGAACGCCTCATCTTTCTCCCAAGAAATGACTGGTGGTTTCAAACTGCTGACCTTCCCGTTAGCAGGCCAACGCACAGCCACTATGCCACCAGGGCTCCCCCCGCCAGCAGCTCTGAACTCTGTTCTTTCAGTTCTCCACCACCTACCCGTCGGGTGTCAGACCCCCACCTCAGGAGAGGCTCGTCTCCCCTGCCTCCTCCAGGGTCGGCAGGCCTGGGCCTGTCCCCCTCCCACAGACTCCCAGGGCAGGTCCATATCCCATCCCCAGACCCCTGACCTGGGAAGGGGGCGGGCACGTGCAGAACCTGGGCCATCCTCTCTTCTGAGGCTCCTCCAGAATCACTTAGAGGGCTGTGAGTGAGACTGCCTGCAGCACCAGCTGAGGCTCACCTGGGGGGATGACAGCAGGAAGTCAGGAGGAGCGCGCAGGGGAAGGGGGAGCGGAGGGGCCACCCTCATCCTACACAGAGTTGCCCGGTCCTCTTGTATCCTTACTCCTGGGATACCAGCCTCCCACCCAGGTCAGGGACCCTCTCACAGGCTCACACACAGGCCTGGCCTCTGTAAAGGGTGGGGGGACCTCGGTTTGGAACAAAGAAACCAAACTTTGCCGCCCGCCTGTGCTCACATCTGTCCAGCCCCTGGACAGGCTCCAGCTGTCCCTCCGCCCGCCTCTAAGAAGCTCTATGCTGTGTGTGGGGGGGTCCCAAAGCGGCAGGCCCCACCCTTCCTGTACCGCTCCCCCAGATGCTCAGCCCTGGCTGGCCATGGGACTGATAGGGGCTGAGGTTGGTGGGGTAGGGGGGACTCAAGGGGAAGAGCCGGGATGCAGGAATCTGAAGTGGCAGAGACAGAGATGGCTCACCGTAAGGGCCCCCCAAAACAGAGCCAGGTCAGGTTGGCCTCGGGGGGTTGGTAGGAAAAGTGGGGGTAGGCAGCGAGGAGAGAAGCTTTCCCCTTTATGGAAACAATTTTCTCTAAAAATAAACAATTTCACTGCCGGCCTACAGGAGAACTTCCTGCCCCCCCAGGATGCGTCAGGGCTCGGGGCGCAGCAGGGATAGAGGCTGGGCAGCCAGGGAAGTCATGGGAATGAGGGAGGAAGTGAGAAGGGGTGCCCGGAGGCTGCCGAGGGGAGGGACAATCAGGGCCTCTCACTAACCCACCCGAGGTTCTGGAGGCCAGCCAGGGCTCTTCCATCCCTAACACCCGTCTGGGCTCGGCTGTCCTTCCTGCTGTCTGACCTCCAGCTACTCTGCTGCAGAGGCCCCAGCCCTTCCTGCCTCCAGAGTGTGTGTGTGTGTGTGTGTGTGTGTGTGTGTGTGTTGAGGGGGGAGGGTTTAAGCCAGTGGGAGCCAGGGCAGCAGGTACCTGGGAGGATGAGCCAACAGACGGGCACCTGTTGGGCATGAAGAAGACGGGGCTGGGATCCAGGGGGGGCCGGGCCGGCCTCACACTTTCTGCCTCTCTTGCTTAGTGACTGGGTCTCTCTCTCTCTCTTTCTTCTCACCACGTCTCTGTCTCTGGGCCTCTCTCCACCACGTCTCTCTCCCCGTCCTTCCACATTCCTGTCCTCACTTCTCCGTCTTTGAACGCCTGCTGAAACACATGGTGGAAATTCGGTTTCCCCTCTGCCCTGAAGCTCACCCCAGCACCAAATTGCTTTCTGGAGGAACCGGCCACAGGGAGGGACACCCGGGGCGTGGAAGACAAATCTCCCTGGAAGCTGGGTTGCCTGTCTCTCTGCCGCTGCGAACCGCTGCCCTCCCAGTCAGCAGACAAACACTTCAGCCTTGGCAGAGAGGCTGGGTGGAACGGGGTGGGGGCTATGTGGGTGCGTAGGGGGTGGGATGAGTAATGGACATGGCTGCAAAGGCCAGACAACTCATTACAAAGCGTCAGCCCCCAAGGAGACGGAGTGCCGGGGTGGTGCAAAGGGTTAAGCGAAAAGACAGGCCGTTGTTCACACCCACCAAAAGGTCACACCCGGCCTGGAAAATCCTACGGAGTTTCACTGCACACACATGGGCAACTAACGGCAACAACACACTCCTGTGCCCAGTGGGCACTGCCACCCCCTGCCCTACAGCTGGGGGGCCTGCAACACCGAGATGTGAAACACCTTGCCCAAGATCACACAGTAGGGAAACAGCATGTCACCCTCACCCCCCCCAACCCCGCCAAGCCCCCCACCCCCTTCCGCCGCCCACTTCTCAGACTTGAAGACTGAGGTCTCTGTGTGCTGGGGTGGGCCTCAGGTGCCAGTGGAACCGAAACCAGATGTGGGGTGTGTTGAGTGCGGGGGTCCCTTCCGCTAGGGGACCCTTGGAGAGAGGGGGGTACACGGGCAGATGGAGAGGCTAGGAGACAGGAGACTTCCAGAGGGTGAGGGAGGGCGCAGGGAAGAAGGGGCCCCGGGGTCCCGGGCGGTTCCGAACGTCTCTTAAGGGTCTTTCCAAAACCCACCCCTTTCGCCCACAGCCTAGCCGCCTCTGGGGTC